CTCACATATGCTCCTGATTGCCGGATTTAATTGAGTATATAGATAATATTACGACCGATGCAATTTATGACGTAATCCAAGACATTGCACCGAAAATGATTCAATCAATAATTATGTGTCATGTGCGAAGTCAATGGCAAGAGTGTTTGGAATTATTTGTGCCTATTTTAAAAGAGGAAGGACTTTGTTTCACGTTCAATGCTCTCAATCTGCCTGACATTTATACAGACGAGTGGGTTTTTACAACGTTTTCATTCATTATGATAGGGAAATCTAAAGTAGTACTTTCAGATTGGCCCCGGGAATGATGACCACAAACTTCAATAAATCTTATGCATTAGGATGGACCCTAGACAATGGATATATAAACCAATCTGCTGCGACAAATTACCCGTTTCAGGCGGTTCAATCAGGTGTCGCAGTTAAATTAATGTTGATCCTTACAACTTATCGAAGGAACATGGATCCCAAATGCAGAGAAATCGACCAGGGATATAAACTATTTCTAACTACGCCCGGTGAAACACTCATATCATCACGAAAATACATGCGACTTCCGATTTCAACACAAAATCGGATCGAGCTCAGTTCAAAAGATAGAGCTACTAATCTGCTGTTTTGTCTTAATACTTTTTGAGTACTGGAACAAATTATGGTGAATTTGAATTTTATGCTTATATTTTTTATTTAATTTAAAGCAGTGGCACTAACGACAAAAAAGTGCATAATAAATATCTCAAAGCGCCAATCAAATTTTTATGATGAAATGTTTTTTTAAAAATTACATTATTTAAAGCTTTTTTCGTACAGTATTTTCTGGGTCTTGAACAGAATTAAAGTGACTTTAGATCTATGCTCATATCATTTATTTAATTTAAACCAAAGGCAGTATATTTCAAAAAAGAAATAAAATCAAGATCTTGTAATTCATTTTTGAAATAACTGAGAATTTTTTTTCTGTACTTTGTTGCAAATAAATATATTACTTCAAAGTTACTTTGATGAAATACATTTCATGTAGTGCGCCAAAAAATAGTTTGTTGTGAAACAACAAAATAGAATAAGTAACTAAAATCTCAAGCGAGGAGTGAAGCGATGCTCTGCGGTCTTGTTTTCACTATTTTCAGTGTTCAGTTCACTTTTTAATCCTTTATTTTGGAAAATTTGATGTGAAAAGTATCAACTTAAATGAGATTTACACTTTTACTACTGATTTTTGGGCTGCATGTGGTGAAGTACTTGGATTGTTCTTGGGTATTTCTGTGCTGAGCATCTTTGAACTCATTTATTACTTGATGCTTCGTTTATTTTGGTTCAACCGCCAATTGATTTATATTGGTTTGTGGACATTTTCACGGCAGTTTTTGAAATTTTGAAAGTATTTCTAAATCCATGTAAGCGCTTGAATTTTGGATTTATGATCGATAATGATCCAAAAGTTTTTGAAGCACTTACATTGTATGAGAATTCGACTCATCCTTTGAACCCGTACAGTTTAAAAACGAGATTTTTTCCTCAAAAAAGACGCCAACAAGGGGCAAATATCTTTATTTATTTTCTAAGAATATTTCACATATTTTATTTGGGTAACGCATTTTAATATAATATTTTTAAAAATTCTTCTGGATAAAATTTGCCAATTGTTTGAAAATTGAATTAAATTGTAGCGTATATTAGAACTGAAAAGAACTACTTTGAGTTGACACAGAAATGATGAGAAAGCGAACTAAAAGTAATGAAATGAAGATAATAAATCAAATGTACATAATTTGTTCTATTTAGAACGAAGCGCACTTTTCATAATACTGTAACGAATGAAACCCATGAAGCTGCCATAGAATAGTTCATTAAAAATACAGAAATTAAATGCCAATGTTTATAATTTGCTTAGAGATTAGTTTTTTCCTCTTTCGTTACTGCTTCGATAAATCGTTTGCCTTTTGACCCTTGTTATTGCAAATGCCTTCCAGACGATTTGAATCGCGTGACGAATCTACTAATAATTTCATTACATTTTGGTAGTTATTTTGTGCAGCTTTGTGAAGGGCTGTGTTACCGTCATTGTCTTGATGAAATACATCTGCACCCTTTCGAAGTAAAAGTTGTACGACTTGCTCATGACCTAATGCAAAAGGGATAAAACAATAATTAAATACACATTTTTTATTCCATTTTCTAATTTTTCTCAAAATTACCCATTAAAGCGGCACGAATAAGTGGTGTGCCACCAGATCGGGTACAAGCATTCACATCAGCACCAGCATCCAAAAGTCTTTCACATGCTGTTAAATGACCACTTCTAGCTGCGTAATGTAAGGCGGTGTAACCGGTTGAATCGATATTATTGGTTTGGCCGGACACGATATGCTTATCCAATTTATCCAAGTCATTATAGAGAGCTGTTGGGATGATAAGAATACAATGATATCGAAATTATGTGTCTCAATCATTCCTTATTCAACCATACCTGCTGACCAAATTCCGCGCTCAAAATCCATTTCGTCCAGCGATTGTGTGGCAATGGTTGACTTGCATTTGCAATGTGCATCATGTTGATGGCCCATTTTTTATTGAATAAAATTGAATCAAATCAGAAAAAATTGCTTTCTCACAACACTCAATTACTTTTGGAAACAGAAATAAGATGTCTTGTTCATTGTTCAACGTTGGAAAAGATTCCAAAAAAAAACACTTAATTAAACTAAATACTAATTGCAATGAGATTAGACGTGTGATTAAACTTCACGTTGTAGTGTCCATACAACTTCAATTTCGCCAGTTGAACAGACCACCTTGTAGCCCAACAAACTTAATGAATTTATCACACTCATCGGCGGTCCCTTAATATTCACACCATTCACAATTTCCGTTGTACTATTTGAGAAACGTTTCGATAAGGCCTTCACTTCGTCGGCATTCAAACCAAACACAGCTGAATCAGATGCATGCAAGGAACCCTTAACAGCGATGTACGTAAATGTCCCTTCGGGCTGTGTAATCGGTACTGCCACAGTCACAACACTTGGTGGTGATTCCATTTTCTTCTACTTTCTTAAAATCAGTCGAAATGTCTTCTTCAATCGAAGATGTCTTTTGTTTAATTCAAATTTTTATGAGTGTGAGTATAGAATAGAGTTCTTTACACGTTGTTTTTTTAATGCTTTTGTTTTGTAAATGCGATTATTCGTCGGGGAGATCGACTTGTGAATGGTGAAATTGGCTGTTGACCAATGCTTCGCGCCCGGTGTTTGCTAAATTATCACGATCCACGGTTGATGCAGAATCAAATGCCAATTGCTCGTTTTCACTTGTCACTTCTCGCATAGTCCACATGTACTCATTGTAATCCTGCTTCACGGCTGTTGATGATGATGCGACGACACGATATCCAAGGGCCTGAAAATAAAAATCAATGTTAGTAAACGTTCAGAGAAGAAAATTTTTATTCTTTGAGTAAAGAATTAAATAAATTGCATATGCAATATATCAAATAGTTGAATCGATATATGAAATAGAAGAAATGATTCATCTCATCTTGTAAGAATTTCTCTTACTGCGGTGACTACATTTCAGTCAATTAATCATTTTGGATTATAGAAATCTCAAAATAACTTGTGATTAACGGATAACAACTAATTCGAAATACTTTGACAATTTTTTGTGCGTACTATATTTGCAATTCAAAGTACTATACAGCCATAATTTCATGACTTTCGAAATGCCAATTATAGTACATCAAAAAAAAATCCTGTCAAAGTGTCTCAAAATAGACGATCAACTGGTAGTCCACATATTTGTATAAGGGAGGAATTTAAAATGAAATGAATAATTTGTGTGATAATGAACGCACCTCTAATGATGTTAGGATTTTGCATGGATGTGATAAATAAACGATGGTTGATTCATCGCTGTAACCGCCGCATGGAAATCGATTCAATTGTTCGATATCTGATGCTGTAAATGAACGATGAAAATGATTCAATGTAAATTGTAAATGAAACTATATTATATAAAATAAAGTATCTCGCAACAATTCTACGGTGATATCAATGAGTAAATGGATGTGTGTGCAATTAGTCATATATCGCTGAACGCTTGCTAATGAGCGGCAATAAAACAGAGCTGTTATAAAATTACGGTGATATAGATAAAGTCGACTGTCAATACATGATAAGAGTGCAAATAAAAGTATACCCATTACAAAAATTACGGCCATCAATTTAATGGAATTTACATATCGCAATGCATTCAAAAGACACCGACAATGTGTGGTCTCCATTTTGCGGCAAATAAGGTCATAAACAGAAGCTTATACAAGCCAATTTGAGATGGAAAAAAAACAATAATTGTGGCAAAAAATTCACTCAACCCTTTTACGCGGATGAAATGATAAGCCGAAATAGAATGAATCACGCCAAATTAGGGAATTTACGTAAAAATGGCAATTTACACATACATCCTAACACATAACCGAGCATGAGCAACAATGAATTACATGGAAACGGCATATAAAACGCTCTCTGATTCGAGTCAAGAGCACATTCTATCCATTAAACCATTTCTTTTGCAGTGCATTTTAATTGAAATTAAGCACAGAACATTAATTTCATAACAATACTAATTTGCGATTGTCCGGTTGGCTCAACAAGAACCGCTGCACTTTTACAATGAAGCGGAATAGCGAAAAAAAAACTTGAACTAAAAACACAAAATGAACAAGCGCGAAAACAAGAGAAAAAAGGCAAACATTGAATTACAACTACATTTAGTACGGTTTTGCTAACTTTTTTTGCTGCTTCGAAACGTTTCATGTCGTGTGGTTGAATCTAGATAAACATGACTTGACTACGAAATTCAAATCACAAAATTAAAATGAAAGAAATAATGACGACGACGACGACAACAACAAAAGAACAACGCAATGTATGTGTACATGTTGAGTGAGTGTTTGAAATAAAATAAAAGTACCTTTTAGTCCAGAGACAAGTACACGAAATGGATATTTATGACTGTAACTAGACAAGTTACCCCTAATCAGAACGTATGGCATTGAAACGTATCAACTTGTTGTTATCTAAACTATTTTTTTATAGGAAAAAAACAAACAGTTTTGAAAGTTCACCACCAAATTGAAATTGCATGGAAAAAGAGACAAAGATAAAAATAGCAAGGATAATGTTAGTGTAGAAAATTGATTGAATTAAATTTGCAATTTAAAGTATTAACAAGTTTTATATTTGTTTTTAAACCAAGCGTCGAATGAAATCGAAATGTTTAGTCTAATCACTGTGGTGTGATGTGATGGAATGGAATAAACAACACTGTGGTACTGGATAGTGACGAAGTAGTAAACAACGTTCCATTTATAATTTTAAAAAATGCGAAGCGTCAGATGGTAATCGAACGATGTATACACACAGGATAACACGGTGAGACTGGCCTCAAGTGTACAAAAAAAAAACGTTTTCATTCCTGATTGGCCTCAACCTTGGCAATTACCCATGTTCTATTCAATATGCATGAATGAGTTTTCCATACAGTGACAATGTCCTTTCTACCATTCCAACCGTCAATACTTCTAACCTAAAGCCTAATTATATGAATCGAATATACCATAATTATTATTTGATTTATTTTTATTACCGTTTTTCGTTAACTAATGACAACGTAGCAGCGAGAAGCTGCCAATTTTGTACGCAATTTTCGCATAATGTTTACACAACGCTTAAAAGGAGATCGACATTGATGGCAATATGTAATAAATAAGCGTTGTGACAGCAAAATATGAAAATATTACTACAATTTAGATTCGACATTTATTGAGAATTGGCACGTCATCCGATTTTATCAAAATGTTGAAGTGTATGTCTGTGTATTCAGGGCTCTTCGTAAAAAGTGGAAAACGAACAAAAAGACAAACAAACAAAACATCGTTGTAATGTCTATTGCCACAACAACAGTTCGAATACGATATAATTCTGTGTGTGTTTCTACATTTCAGGGGATAAAATAAAACCTTCGGAAAAAAAAATCAATAAGTTCGAAGAACCAATGGCATGGTCAGTATCACGTAACAAGGGAGACCTTATATGAGGTTTTATATATCATACACGAAGAAGAAAGTCATCGCCCTCAGACAACGAAAAACTTTCTCAGACAAAAAAAAACAAAGACTTTGACGAAAAAAATCGAAAACGCGATTTTGGTAGTTTAGAAAAAAAGCGTTTTTTCAAATGTAATTCAATCGATATCGAACCGAATTGACATGACTGAATTTTCTACAATGAGACAAATTTAATCAACTAATTTTCGCGGCTAACTCAAAATGAATATGAGAATTTGTGATTGTGTATATAGATTAATAATGATGAGCAATGACTTATTCCCTACTGAATGGCGAAATGAATTATTCTTTTAATAGCTACCGAAAGGAGGATAAAAAAAACTGAATATCATTGACATTCGCCACCAATGAAATTCATTTCTTGCTTCTCATGTGATTTTAATTTCGATACGTACTAAGTATGAGATCATTCAGTGATAAACAATTGTTCTAGACTTTTCGCAAAAAAGACACATCTTAATACTGATGTAATTCTGTTGTTGTTATTTGCCCCAACCTCACCCGAAAATTAAACTCGTTCGGTATCCACGAAATGATAATAATCACACTTTAATTGCTCTTGGAATGGAATACTCACTTTCGCAAGAAAAAATATAACACTTTTACTAGATGTAATCCAACAAAATCGCGTCAAAATTCACAACTGCGTTCTGAATCGAAGTGTATCTATGCGCTGTTTGTGAGACAATAAACTCAAGTGTGTATTTGTGACGGAGCTTACGTGCTGTCCAACAGTCGTTAAGAAACCAACAGACACCAAAATTGTTTTTATTAGGCGAATTGTCATAATTTCGTATCTGACACTTGTTATGAACGATACAGCAGCTGTGACACGTGTGGTTGTCTCTCTCTTGTCCGAAGCATGATGGTTTGACATGTTTCCGTTAGGGGCGCCACCTATACAAATACGTTCATTTTGAGGTTTTGAATAGAACAACTGAATTTTCCATGATATTTTATTGAAACAGATTCATTTATTGTTGGATTTGTTTGAATGGTTGTAAATATTCGTCGCGATTTATTGCGTTCAAGTATTTTTTGCGTTGCTGCAGAACCCATTCGAGGTCCGACTGGTTTTTCTGCGATTTGGCCACGTCAAGTGCCCGTTCCCATCGATGCATACGAACGCAAAGTTGAATTGCCTCGCTAGTCTTATTATTGTGCAGCAGAATGGTCTCGGCTTCATTACTTCGTCCCATCATCACCGATATCTCTGCCATTTGCTCATAACTGTTCGGTGCCAGATTCTGTAACAGAAATGTTTATTAAAACCCTCGAACTTCAATCTCATTCTTCGTCTCATTCTTTGTCTTTTTCTTTCACTATCGTTGTTATTAATTGCCATACAAACTCCTTTCTTACCTTGATGTGCTGCAAATATTTCACTTTATCGATTTGTAAAGACGCTGAATAGGCCTCTTCAGCAATTTCCAGTTGATTCTTCTTTGATGAGATCGCTGCCAATGCAGCCCAAAGAATTGAATCCTGAACGCGACGACACAACGTCAGAGCTCTAGGCCATAACTCGTCGTTTAGCAGTTTATGTAATGTTTCGCATAGCAAATTCACTTGAATTGGATACAATGCACCCGAGCTCTTGAATGTCACAATTGAGCCTTCAAAATTGTCTAGAACGATATTTTTGCCCAGCTCGCTGTTGAAAGCAAATTGTATTTTGAATTTTTTGTCCATTTTCTGACTTTCATTTAGCAAAAATTTCTTACGTAATGTCGAATGTGACCCTTGTCAGCGCAACAACTGTAGGATCCATGCAAGCCTCTCCCGGGCAATACCAAATGCTATACGAAGCATCATGTAATCCAACCAACATGTTTGACTCACTTGCCCACATCGTTGAAAGCACCTGAGTTCCTAAAATCAGCCAATTTTTGGTGTATTTTAATAATTTGGTTTGTTTTCAATAAGAAAAAGTGCATACCAATTTTGTAGATCTCAAAGTTTGAACCATTTTTCAATGATGCACAGAATATATCGCGATTAGTGTCAATAAAAACCATGTATTGGTCATCAACGGTACCGGCACGACTCACTGCAATTTGCTGTACGGTTGTTTTCGTATGACATGTGGTGACTTCATTCTGACGTGATGCACCTGGCATCAAATCAAACACATAAATCACTGAAAGAAAAAAAGGCCATCAAAATTCATGCTAAATAGATATATTCAGAAGAACACGTACAACTTTCATCGCCACAATCACGAACAGCCATGTAGTGTAAGCCTAATGACAGTGTTTTCTCATTCAATGAAGTCAATTGTGCTGTTAAACCCGAATATTTCGGTGTTAGATGCAATCGACCGGAATAAGTGAATATGGAAACCGCAGTACTGTCCAATACCAGAAAATGCCTGCCAAGAAACGAAATTTATTATACTCTTTTTATTCAGCGCTATCAACTGTGCTGCTACTTACTTTTTCGCCAATATTAAAACCTTGACATCGGGTCGACCATCAATTATAGTCAATGGCGTGTTTGTATACTTTTCATTGTAAACATGCACTTGATTTGTGGTTGCCACGACCAAATGCCCATAGCCAATCTCCCATTTGATAATCCGATCCGGAAAGTCCAGCGTGTCTACCGTACGGGTAACAATATCTTGTAGCTCAATAACCTTGCGAGCTATTGTTTTCGCTTTGAGATTTCGACTCACTTTCTCTTGTTCGATGATATGTGCAAAAATAAGCGTGCCCGTTCCACCACCAGCCGCTAATTGAGTTCCATCTTTTGACCAACGAATACTGTAAACTGATCCGATTGGTGGCGAACTGAATTTCGTATTGCTGTAAGACCACTGCAAATGAATCATCAAAATTAGGACAATATAATTTCTTCGGTGAAAAAGAGATCTCACTTACTCCAGTAAAATGACACAGCTTCAACATGTTGAATCCTCCAACAGCCAAATAAATTCCCTTGGGCCCGAATTCAACCGAAGTTATGCTATGATCTTCCACAAAACTGGCGTATATCAATGAACCTTGACTGTCCCAAATTTTGTACTGACAATCATCTCCTCCGGATGCAAGATGTTGAGTCTCATTAGACCAGCACAGGCACAAAACACTCCCAGAATGAGCCTTCCACTGAAAGTAAACTAGAATTAAGGTCTCTTTTGTTGATCAATTAATTTAGTCTCATTCACCTTGATCAATTTGCTATTGGCTGCTAATGGTTTGATCGCAATGAATGGCCCGGTGCAGTATGCGATAGACATCGAATTTGGCGACCAGCATGCAGTTCGAATTGGAGTTTCGTTTTGAATTATTGTCGATCGTAACATGCCCAGTTTTGACCATACTTTAATCACTCCATCCTCGCCGGCAGTTAGTAAGCCAGTTCCATCGGGACTCCATCGCGCTGCATTAATTGATCCAACATGTGCATTCACAATTCGTTCAGCTCGAGCACTACGATTCAGCATTATGAATCGGCCATCGTTGCTACAAATCAATAGCGAGTCACTCGCTTTGTTGCCACTATTACTGCCCGGTCCACTAGACTTGGTGGATGTTCGCGTGCCACATAGCCACTGCAAGTCAGTTGGATAGAAATCCTCGGGTAATTTCGCTACTTGTGTTCCTATGCGAGTTTTTGCGTCCCATTTGAATAACTGTTGCTCGTCGCTGTGACCAAACAAAGAGCATTGAAAATTGACGATTTGGTATAATCTACTGGATGCGTTATTTTTGTCTCATTCAATTCTTACCCAATCGTATAGACCTCATCATTTTTCGACCAATCCAGACAGCACAACACCCCATTGTGCTTGGCCTCCTTGTTGATATTTATTTTGAATTTCATCCTGCGGCCAAAGTGAGTTGATTTTATGACTCGAAGATAAAATGTTGGAAAGCATGAAACACAGCGTCTGTTTGTATACACATGGTTTCCGGGGCAACAATTGTGTATTTTGATAGAGATTTCAAAATCGGTCCGTTATAATTTCATTTTCCAAAGACCAAAAGAGAAGAGTATTTTTGTCGTTTCCAGCATTTTGTTCCTTTTGTTCTTCCTAACAGATGCAAATTGAATTAAAAAGAATAGATGAATATCATCTTGTGGGCACCGGTATTTCGAAGAAATGTCAAACAAAGTTACGAATCGTACTTCAATTGCGAGTTAGCAATGAATAGAAGAGAAAAAAGGCAGAGTTAAACCATGGAATGATTCAAATTGTTCTACGAAGATGACAGCGGTCTATGGAACTATTCCATTAGAATTGGGTTTTACATAGAGCGAAGCATAATTGTGCATGACTTACGGAATCCAAATGAGAAAAATCATTTGCAAAAACCAGCCTGTAACATCTCACCCATAGGCATATTCTCATTTGGGAATATGTTTGATCATATCTTTCGTCAATTTTCTCGTTGAAAAATTAATTTCACATCGACAAAATTGTTCAAAAATTAACCGGTTTGCAATAAATCAACGCCAAACAATGCTACACAGAACGAGTGAATAAAAAAAACACAACGAATTTTGACAGATTGAATGTTCGCCGTGGTTGGTAGCTCTGATTTTCGTCGCAGTACAGCGATTTTCGCTTCGTTGGTGTTGGTGGAGTTATTTTGGTGTTGTTGCTGCACAATACAATACAATAATGATACGATACTAAGCGAATTGTCCATTATCACGCTCACACTCATAGCGAATCGGTACGCACACATGCACAACGCCATCGTCAATGGTAACAACAAATCGATGCTGAACGAGAAACTTCAGAAAATCAGAATATTGAGTAACAGATTCAGCTGAGTGTGTGCGTAAACACGAATAGCTGCAAAGGCGACAGCCAAACCAAAAGAAAATCATTTTAAAATTACTTTCCGACAATTTAGATGTGAAATTAAATTTGTAGTTGTGTTTTGTTTAAAAGAAATTTATTTGTGTTTGTGCGTCTGTGCTAATGAACAATTTGCAAATAATTGATAAAATAAAAGTCCAATAGACAAAGAACAAACAATTAATCTGAAAAAAAACTTAGAATTTGTTCCACATCCAAGACACTAAGTCTATCATCCGTATTGGGGGAGAGAAAAATTCAAGGGAGCAGAAGCGAGACAAAGAGACACTCACGTTTACACATATTTACGTGAATCGATCGAATTAAAAGGAAAATAATAAGCAGACGAACATATCACAATTGGAATTTTGATTGGTGGTAAGTAATTTTAACTATGATTATTGATTTTTTTGACGAGTGTTTTGCTCTGTGTAGAGAAATACGGTCTAAGAACCTGTGCTATGTGCAATAACTTCGGCATTTCGCAGAAATGTCAATCAAAGTCAAGACTCGTAGTTAGCAAAAAATGATCAAAGAAGTAAAGAATAAACAGAGTCAAACCAATGGGATGATTTGAATTTTGCCACGAAGTTGACACCGGTCTATAGAATCATTTCATTGAAATTTCGTCGTACATGGAGCGAAGCATAAATGTGCATGACTTACGAAATCTAAGTGACAAAAATCGATATTCTCAGTGAGAGTAAGCCAGTTTTAGAAGAGTGTGCGTACGCCTCAGTTTGCCATGTTCCATTTCATGCTGTAAATATGAATGGATGTAATGCCGTTGTGTGGTGCTTCGCGCGTGTCGGTGTGTGCGTACCAATGCGAATGATATCAGTCCATTACGGTGTGCGCGTGTGTATGTGTCTCTCTTTGGTGAACATACATGTATTGGCGATGTACTTGTGCAATACAGTACCTGTCTCCCGTCAAATAAGAATCCGCTTCAAATGAATATGTCAAAATACACATTTTGGCATCGTTTTCATATCATTTCTTCTGGTTTTTGAAGCATTTTTTTTTTCGTACAGATGATGACTCAATTGATTGTAGAATTTAGGAAACATTTTCTGCTCGTCAAATGACAATATAGTTGACACAAAACCTATATCAACGCTGACAATATGAGATATGTGACAGTTTTCACGCCCTTTTTGGATCCGAACTCTATGTCGCGCGAGAAATAACTCGTACTCCGTTTGAATAAAATGACATGTTTCCCTATTTTTTCCGCTGAAATTGAACCACCAACAATTACTTTTTTGACACGCACAAACAAAAGCACTGGCCCACACACACACATACACGCATCGAGACAATAAAAAATGATTAATTTCTGACAAGGTGTGCTTTAAGTAATTAAAAAAGGCAGCAAACAATTTTCATAAAATCAGCAATAAATTTGAAACACTCGCTAAAGAATGAACAAATAATTGACTGTGTCATATCCATCACAGTCATGCCAGTGTGATAGACAGCGGCCAATTTCCCGTCTGCTTTCTTTTCCCACCTAAGCACAGAATGATTGTGAGCCTCCATCGTCTCTCTTCGGTTCTTTTTTTGGAATAAAAATCTATGAATCATGCTCCAGACATAGTTTGCCATACGCATGCAGAAGAAAACCACATAACGAGCGTACATACCCAGAATGAATGTATTCGCAACCAAGCGGGAAAGCCAACTCTACTCACATTTTGGTAATATTCGTCACAAAGCCACCTGTCGAGAGTTGCTTGTTGATTAATTAAAATATTTGAATACGACATCCGATGTTCAAAACACACTTAAAACAACTTTGCAAGTACTTTAAAGTGAACCAACATGATACTAAATAAAATCTGCGAATGTCATAAAAAAAAGTTGGTCATTTCTGTTTCGTCTTGTAAAAAGTTCGGATAAATTTATCTTAGAAAACTGTTTGTTAGCTGCAATAGAATAATTTCCGTTAAATATTTATACGAAAATAGAGCAGATCGCATTCCAAGTATTAATTTACACAACTTAGACCCTGTCAAAAGTTTTCCAACACTTGGCTCGTTTCGCCAACAACAACAACAGTTATTTTAATCGAAATGGGAGTTAATGTTTGTGTTTCTCAGATACTTGATTTGATTGCATCTTATGCTTAAGTATGTAAGTTCATCTTCCCTCCAATCTCATAAATAGATTCTGAGGACAAATACCATATATATACACACACTAACACAATGCAACGAGGAAACCATTTTTTCCCGTTTGTACCGACTATATTCAAATGTTATTCAACATGGTGGAGATAAAATGTGGGAAATATTTTTATTATGACTGCCAGAGACCTATCAAAAGAGGAGTAATATGGAAAAACCAAATCAGCTACTAGTGTTGTGTGTGGTTTAATACTATTAAATTCAATTTCCGTGCCGACGCACTTGAGCTAAAATTGTCGCATTGTGACGTTTTCAACACAATTCATAATCGCGATTTCAACGCATCGTGCTCGTTGGTGTCGAGTTTCAATTTTCCATTTTCCATTTAAAAGTTTCTCGTTTCGTCAAACTTATGCAATCTCGCAGATGAAACTCTCTGACAACGGCTTCGGAAGAAGGGAAAACAGCAACGCAGAACCACCGGTAAAAATCAGAATTACAAAACATTTAACAGATGAACCAAACATGTTGGGTTGCCTAAATATTACGCCATGCTTAAATCCCATCCGAACAAAGACGGATTGCATGAATAAGCGTTACTGTTTCGAGAGCGCGATTCTAAATGACACGCAGAGAGAGAAAAATTCCGATATAGATGCGGTTGGTATTACTAATCTTGGCGAGAAAACTTTTGGGCTTCTGATGTGAATCAGCTCATTTTCTAGATAAACGAACCCAAAACGAATTACGCAGCTTTGCTTTGCTTGTAACCATACACCCATGGTATCTCAACAGTACTAAACACTTTTCTTCTGTTTGCATCATTCACATTGGTCTTGAAATCGGTGTTCGAAGAGGCAACCAAATGAGATTAATGCTTAACGGAACCGTTTTTATGGGGTCAAAGTTGGAAAAGCAAAAAATCTAATGATTCGATTAAATTTCACATTTAGTTGAAGAAGCGAACCCATTCTATTCGAGCAATAGCATCAAAAGGTATATTGAGCATGCGAATTTTTTTTTCTGCCACTTTCTCCCTCTCTCTCTCTCCATTCAAATACACATTGAATTTCCATAAGATTCTCAAATGCACGACTCCTCCTGATGGCGCGATGGATAGAGCAGAAAAGATGCGACACAGCGGCATGGAATGGAATGGAATGAATAAGTTGGCTTGCTAACAAATGCTACAAAAGGGTTTGAATGGAATAAAAGTTTTTCCAAATGATATTTGCAGTGTGTGGTTTTTATCTGCAGCAAAGAGACTGTTGAAAAGTCCCTTGGAACATGGCATTCCACATGTGACTGAAGAAATAAATATATATATATCCACTAACTGTAACCATGGCAGTCACATAAAAATCACTATAATCCATTCGACGAAAAAAACATGTTGAAATCGCTCCACTGGAGGGTTAGTCGCAGTGCACTCGTTTTGCAACATCGTTGATGGTCTCGAATTGCAGGACATAACGCGCATAAGCGATCGCTTGCCAAAACGTGGGATAAAACTGAATTTTGTGATTTTTCAAGCGTTTTATCAATTCCAAATGCACCTACGTACCTAAATGGACATTATTCGAGTGCATGTCGGTGCATGTAATGCATTTACTATTTACAGTGACGGTCTATACTTAAATTCTCCAATGGAAAAACAATTATTTTTACATCAGAATCGAATATCTCACACGGAAACTGACCGTTTTTTTTCTGCTTGTGTAATGTTCCCATTGGTAGATAACATAGAACGTTCCAAAGCATCCCGTTTTTCTGCAATAATAGAAGAATATTACCGGGGAAATGTGTCCATTTGCGAACAGCAGACATTTTACAGGGCTACGCTGAAAAACACAGAATATCGATTTTATTCAGTTTGGTTCACGCTTCCGGAAAATTATGAACTATGCGGATTTTTTTGTAAAATATTACACGGGAAAGAAAGTTGAAGTTTGTTTGGGACATGTGTATTTTGTGCCGCTGTGCGCAACAAAGTTTGACATGGTAAAATGAGTCGCGCCACCTGATGCCCTTACTTTGCTTGCTCCCCTTTTATTAGTCTATTCAGATAGAAAAGCAAAGGTAAAATCTCGGAAAATTATTGGAGTTTTTGGACGACGACGACGACGAAAACCATGACGAAGTAGCAAATCGGCTTAAAGTTCAACACAACCATATGTGCCCGACCCGATAGTGCACCGAATATTTGGTATTTATCTATGGAATTGTCCCAGCTTCGAAGCAGAAGCTCCGCAATTCCATTTGCTATTTGCATGTTTGCATCATTGAACAAATGAGCTTATTGTTTTGTATTCGTATTTGAGTGCGATCCAAATATGCACGCAATTTTTTCTCAGCCATTTATTTCGGCCAATTTGAAAAGACTGATTTTCCTACTTCCTACACATTCTTTTTTTCACACATACACACAGAATCATCGTGCAAGATAAATGAATTGAATTGAATTCTCATTCTTTTCATCTGTAAGCAGTGATCCTTCTTACATTACACTCAATGCTGATTGAGAAAGTCATGCGAAGGAAAAATGAAGGAAAATGTAAC